GGGGGGCGGGGGGGCGGGGGGGGGGTATTAAAATCACACACCACACACGGACAGATACAACCCAAAGGACTATGTGATGAAAATTCAAAACAAATTTGAAATGAATGGGAAAAACTTTGTTCATTCAGTCTTGAACTATATAGATATATTTTTGAACATGGTGATGATGAAAGACTTGGTGGAATATTGAGAACCATCAGTCATGGCAACTATATAAAATACTGTTCTAGTAAATTTACCTGAAATTAACACTGGAAGTTGGGAAGTATTGTCAGAGGCATGATGAGAAGTTGCTCCCTCTCATGCCTTTCAGGGGAACCACCATGATATTGAGGAGACAAATCGCTGTTGTCATATAATAAAACATTTACGGACAGCTGTGGTTGTACACGAAAGCAGGACACATTTCGCATTCCCCACAATGCATATTTACTCTGTGTTGGGTGTATTTGTGTTAATGAACTCGAGTGCTTGTGAGAGCTCTAACGTTAACAAACCAAAGCTCAAGTCACAGGAATTAAATGTCAAATATGAGGTTAAACATGGGGAATTACAAGAGTATTTAAAAATCTGTGAGTACAATGTGTCCGTCTCTTTTTTGGGTCGGACTGTGGGTTTTGTGGTGCCGTGTGGTGCCTCCAGGTGGCAGTGTGTTACAGGGTGTGGTAGTTACGATCCTTGGATTTGCAGAACTTGTAAAGGAAAAAGATGACAGCTTGAAGGCCAAGGACTAACACAATTCCACCGATGAAGCTGGCGGCATCAAATGTGGATGATTTGGATGGAGAAGGAGAAGGAGCGGGAGTAGGAGACGCAGACGTGACATCTGTGGAAAGGCCAAATTTTCAGTGAAACTTAAAAGCATTAAGGAAGTGTTTCACTCTTTTAGAGAGAGCTGTACATACTTGTGACGGTGCTGTTTTGAGTTGGAACAACTGCTGTGGTGGGGGCTGTTGTGGTAGCTAAACAGAAAAAAGTGCTGTTCAGAATCATTTTTCTACCTCAACAATAAACAGTAAAAAAGCAGACACATCAAATTGTATAGCCTGTTCTGTGTTATGAACGGATGCAGGTACATTTTTATATTTTATGGCTCTTTATTTATATTTTATGGTTGATAAAATATTGGCATTGGGCTTTGCAATTGGCTTTAAATTATGTAGGTATCCGTTCTGAGGTGTGTATGAATGCAAAGGAGATGAATCTGGATGGCCGTACCATTGATGGTAGCGTTTGTGGTGGGGCTCACTGACGGGGCCGGGGTCGGCTCTGCAGTTCAGAAAAAATGCACATATTAAACCCACATCATCCCAACATACAATTGGCCATGTCATATTTGCAACTTTATTTTTTTGCAGTTGATGAGTGTAAAAATGATCTTAAGATAGGACACGACGTACCTGTGCAGTTCATACTGATGCAGCCGACTGTTTGGTTCTCAGCACTGCCGTTAACACACTTCGGAATCAGATTGTCTGAAATGTAATGAAAACAAAACTATTTATAAATCAATCTAAGGAGAGAAAAAAACAACAACAACAACAACAACAAGACCAAACAGTCACTGTGCATTTGAAATGCAAAAAAAAAAAAAAAGGGAACTTGCTACTCAAATTTTCTGAACTATTTCTTGTTCAAATAATCCTTGCTGTGCACCAGAGCTGGAGAAAGAAAAAAAATGAAACAAGTTAATCAATATTAAATCAATATTAATAACCGGTAGCACATGAAAAAAAAACATACCATACTGAGTAACAGGTTTACTGGTCTTTAAAAATAAAAGAAAAAGCTAAGTGGTTTAAAAAATAAAGGCAAAAAATAAATAAATACATTAAAATAAAAATAATAATAAAATGGATTATAAAAATGAAGAAAGAACTGGGTGATCGTATCAATGAATCAATCAACCTTACATACCATCAGATAAAGAATAAAATCACAAACACTTCCTGGACTCATAAAGAGGTTATGACCCAGAAATAAGTGGATGAACTGACAGTATGTCATATTGACATAAGAAAGAGATAAAGAGAAAGAGGATGAGGAAACAAGGAAGATTTTCCAGGAACCTCTGTGTCACTATCAGCTGGTTTCCATTTAGAGTATCCTCCCGTCACACATGAATAGCATTGTGTGCAAATACGACAGACAGCTCAGCGCAGAAATTCCTACTAATAGCAATAATTAAATTTTTACGCATTGTTTCGTAATCCACTTTACCGACACTGTTGTCTTCCTCATGTTTGTCATTGACTTAAGTTCAGAAAGCCTCGAGAGTCACAACAGTCTAATTCACTAACTGTGCGTACACACATATGTGCTTAAATTCTTGTCACACAGAAAACATATACACCAATTAGTTTATGCTTTAAATTATTTAGAAATTAAATACTTTACCATTATAGGAAAAAAACAGAATGTAGAACTACAAATCACGTAAAATAAATAAATCTCAGTATCTATGGAATTTGTTAAGATCGTTAAAAATAGTAAAAAAATCATAATATTATATACATTTTCATAAATCAAAAAACTATGTTCTCAATGTTTGAAAATAACGTAGTCTAGGCCTGTATAAAAGATATTTGGCTGTTGCTACAACTTGTGTTGTTTTGTGACTCAGCCTTCTCTTTCAATACGAGTGTCCTGAACCGTGACATGCTTTGAATATTTTATGTCAAAAGTAAACTGAGCCCCACGAAAACATCTTAACAGGTGGGTTAAACTATAGATCCGTGTATGGAAGTTCATTGTGTTCTTTATGGCCTCAAAACAGCCAACACTGAGAAAGAAATGTCACATGCTTTTGTGAAAGGTCAAACTCTCGTGTTGAAATTCCATACTATGACAACACCAAGATGTTTTCAATTCCTTGCTTTCTGAATAAGTGCTTCACTTGCAAAAATGACCATGCATTCCACACTGCTTCTCAGCCCTCAGCAGTTTGTACAGACA